TGGATAATTCGGTTTCACGAGCATCGCGGATCATTGCCAGCCAATCTCGACGATTGATCAGTGCCCATTTGGTGGAGAAAACCCCACCCAGTTTGGGTGCCAATTCTTTATCCGTATCACTAGTCCTCGGTTTCAGTCAACCACCCAGGCGACAGGGTTCTTTGTTTGGACAATGCCGCATCAGGGCTTCCGAATCAGTACAGTTTCACTGTTCACAGGAGGTAGATAGTTGTCCAATATGACTGCACCCTATCCTTATTTCGTCGTTTGATGATCCATTCTTCTATCTTTTTCGGAGGATGGTGCGTAGCTGTTAGTGATCATATGTCTCTGGTACTGTCCACAGCGCGTGGCGAACATGTTTTGCACTCTTAAAAGAGCATGGTTACGAAATCAGCACAAAAGACCGAAATTTGTTTCGAACGCCGGTCTCTCTGCGGATTCAGATCACTCGATGTAGCCGAAGAGACGCTCTGCGTGCACTGACGATGCACGTTGCAGTAGCAGAGGTTGTTGTTATTGTTTCGTCCTTCGCATGGTATTTGGGACGTAAGAGTGGACGGATGTATTTGACAGACGGCACGTTCTCGATTTGTTGGTTGTAAACGAACAGCTGCAAGGCACTTGGGTCTGAGAAGATCGGGAATGTGCTGACCTCGAGGCCGATAGTCATATTAACAGCTCCCTTTGGCCAGAACACAAATAAGGCTATATGCTTTCAACTGTCACCCCACCCCACCCCGGTGAGGGAAGCGTTTTGTAGTAAAATAAATAGGCCACTAACGAGAATCACTGGATCGGGACGAACCACTTCCGATCTATCAGTTTATTACATCATTAGGGCAGTGTCTTGTAATCAATCACCAAACAGTGAAATGTTTCGCAGCGGTTTATAAACCGCCTACGAAAAACTGACCGCGGTCAGACGATCTTTACTTCAGAGAGGGACAGTTTCATAGTTAAGACGTTTTACAGTTTACGAAAAGACCTGCATGAAAGAGTAGGATCCTCCCACAGGAAGAAAGAAGCAATCACCTTGAACTCAATGGTTCTGTAATACATTTTAACAACGACTAACCCCTGTCAGGTTCTGTCCGTCGGCCAACAAACAAATATTTTCATTGCAATTACCATGCAACCTAATCAGGGAGAGTAGACAATTTACCAAGAAGGAAAATACACAACCTGAAAATATACCACAGTCATATGCATACTTTGATTGCTAATGGTGTGGCGAGAAGGCGAGCTGGCTGGGAAAAACGTCTTTTGATCCAATTCCAAAGCGAACAGTGTATGCGTTCAATTATATACAGTCAATTCTCAACCGCGCGGCGGGATGATTCATGCCTCTTTCTGCGGGTCGTTCCTTGTTGGTTTTGGTGCGCACTTGGCACGTACGTTGCCTCTTCTTCCGCGTTCCATTCCGACTGGTTTGACCCGATCGCCCCGCTAGATGCGTTGATCAACAGTTCCGACGTTGTAGCATTCGGTGGGTATCTTTCCCGTTAGCTGCGGATTGTCTATCGGGCTGTAATTGTCGATTCGCTCGTTTCGGGTGGCAGTCAACACTATCTCGCCAGGCACTTCCCGCCGCTGCGTCTGCGCGTCTAGTCGGATGAGCCCCATTCTTAATTCGGTCGCTAGCCAGGATTTTCTTTGTACCGCGTTCCATCACAATGGGACCATTTTACACAATGAGAACATCACAACAGTAATTCTGTATACAATGATAAGTGAGACCCTTCTAAAACTTCAAAAAACTGAGTTCTCGCCGAGGTGTGATAGTAATACAGAGACAGTGCAATAAGAAAACAAGTTAATTTAACTCTGTACAGTATAGTCTGTTGGGTACGGATAGATCACAGCAGTAATTCCAAACCGAATCCTTTTGTTCAGAGGTGCAACCGATGATGGCATCAAATCGCTGTGGATGGATGCATTGTAAATGGCTCATCACGAATGAGTATCTGATTGACGTGGGAGAATTCTCACCGCAAGGTGAAAAAGATTGGATGTCCACTTGGCATCAGCCTGCGCCATCAATCCCCAATTAGAGGATAATTGGCACCGGCTGTTGATTGCAATCTATTAAAGGCACAACCACGCTGTTGAGAGCAGATCACGGAGGTAGGGACGCAAAATCAAAACTGATTTTGAATAACTTCTCTCAATTCCTGAAATATGGCAGAGTGTGAACTCAAATATAAACTTCAGTGCTCACAAACGCTTCAAAATACAATCCATACACAGGACAAAATCACATACTGTAATGGGCAGCTCAAGCTTTGGATTGTTTGATCCAATCATGTAGAACGTTTTAGAGCGCAGGGACAGAAGAGAGTTGGGTTGGTTGGCTATCACGAATTTCATTTCTTCCAACTGAAAAAGAAATAGTTGTACGCACTGGTGTGGAGACACACACAACTCACCAAACGGTTCCGGAAAATTTGACCTCTTTTTGTAACCCGTATTCGTGACTCTCTGTGCGTGAACAATCACATTTATAATTGTACTCTTGTGAGACCGGTTACTTTGCATGTTCCAATGCAGACGTATCAACAAAACCCTGCACAGGTGGATCTGTCTTCGCACGCCACTGTTTCTCCAGTCGACGAGTCATTTGGACTCGTTGTTGCGCTCGTAGCTGGGCTTCTTGAACGTCTTTACTGACCATACCCGATTGGATTAGGTTGAACTCCCACTGATTGATTAATTTTCCTAGTTTGTCAAGGCCGACTGTGAAGAAATACAAATTTGACGAAACGACTTGATGATCAACTCTGATTTCAATCAGGTTTTTCTAGTATATCTTGTTTGTAGACTTGGTACGAAATAAACTTCCAGGTAGCTTGAGACATTTAGATGATACATATGGACAGATCTCATGGTATTACAGTGGTTAACTTGCACAATCAATACATTACCTATTTCATTTGCGAACATCTTACTTGTCATTAACCTTAAGATATATAGTATTTATCAAATGAATTCAACACAGAAATCAAATTGAAGTCTTGGCTTAGGACAAAGTTCATCTACACCGTTATGTTTACCGGCAAGAGAACAAGTTAACTGGAACTTTGCGGAATGCCTGCTAGCCGATTTAAGTGAATTCAAGTCAAGAACATGTCGTAGTGTCTTACTTTTTCAGAAAAATTTATATCTCATTATGGCGCACCTCAAATATGTACTGATAGACAACTTATGAATGGGGATTATTCCTACCAGTCACCCGCAGTCTAGATGAAATTACACACAGGTTATTATCCCTGTCAACTGCAGACTTCGAAAATGCGATAGATGAAACTTCCAGAGCTACATAAGAGGATTATGTACATAATTGGTCAAAACGTCATCCTGAAAATTTCAGAACAATTCCATACCGAGCCAGGGAAGAGTGAGAGGCAAACGACAATTGGATGAGTTATAACGAGGTCTGTTTTTGGCCTTATGCGCCCGGCAATAAAAAAACCTGAAGCTTTACAACAAATGCTTATCAAAATAATCTAGGGATTTTAAGGTGTGACTGGTTAGCGAAACAACTTTTTTTCGGTTTCTTGATTCCGGCGAGAATATATATATTTCAGAATAGGTAGTACGTGAACAATTGGACATAATTTCCGTGGATGCACACGACCGGTTTCGTCAGGCATGAGTATCCGGTAATCTTTTGTCAGTTCATTCATATATTTGTACCCAGGAAATGTAGTTTTTTCACAATAACCTTGTTTGTAGCACCGGGTAATTTTTGGATATATATATAAGAATGACTAATAGATTTGAATAAACATGATTTGCATATTCAATTAGGCAACAAGCATGCGTTCCCCCGGATGCAAGAGATTCTCAATGGCAGTTCCCTGAGTGTACCGTGGGGAGTCCCCAAGATGTATCCTATTTTCAAACATTTAGGGAAACACTCGCACATAAGCTGCGTATTCCTTTGGACGCCCCCGGGAACCCCATTGCGAGGCCAAAAGGGGGGGGGCACTGAAACCATACTCAAGAGTGATCAAGAGCACTGGTATACTTTAATGTCGTCTTATTTCTAGCAGACGCAACAATCAAAATCGAACATGAATATTTATCTGCGTTATTCTGCTATCCCAAGCTTGAGGTCGACTAAAGAAGAACGATAGTATAATGCACTCTGAACGCACTCAGTGAAACCCCGTCCTATTGCGATTTTGTCGTAATTCTGTCCCAAATAATCGTGAAACAAAACGCAGCAATTCGATATATTATATGAGCAGAGCTGTATGCTACCAAGCGCCTCTCCAGGTCGCGGATAGGGGAACGGCCTCCATCTCGCGGCTAACCGTGAATACGGTGGGCTTCGGCCTGCCGAATCATCGGTCGCGGACGATAAGCGGCAGCGCTCGAGGATGTGGTGGGTTTGCCCCTGGCAAGGGTTCTCCGCACAAAACACCACATATATTTGTGGACAGGGCTGTGACGTGGCGAGTGTGACCCACCACTAAACATGATCATTGCTCTTTGTCGAGATCCATTGCTTGACAAGGTTTTCTAGAAGAGGCG